TAATGTTCCTTATCATTTAATGTTTAACAATTTACCATGAGAAATTTTTCTAGTTCCATATTAGAAATTTACTTATATTTCAATAATTAGTAGCCTATAATAGGTATTTTACAGTCATAGTTTATCTCTTCCTACAAACCTTATATATAAAGGTAAGAGGTATTTTTGTTTAAAAATAATTCCTGCCCAATCTTGTCATATTCTAGCCACTTGGATATATCCTATCTTTTTCACTTCCTCTCTTCCATGTGCTCATTCAACTTTCACTTTCACTGACGGGACACTACAGATCTCTTTGGTAAGTCTCTCTTCATTAGATCTTACCACTCTTTCACCCACTTCCTGCCACTTCTTGGATTTGCTTTAGAAACCTTTCTTGACTATTCACTTTAAAAAGACTATTCTGCCCATACTTTCCTCCATATTATCCCTCTTAAGGCTCATAATCTAAAAAACATGTCTTGTTTTGTTTTTCAACAAAGCCTGAAGGTCATGAATTAATTTTTAAGTCACAATGCACAACGGTTAGAATAAATGATGATGGAAAAAAATGACGATAAAGGTATCAAACTGCTGTATCCACTCTGAAGCTAAGTAAGCTATGACACATAAAGAATAAAAAACTACAAGGTTTTTGGGGTGCCGGGCTGGCTCAGTGGCAGAGCATGCAACTCTTGATCCTGAGGTTGTGAGTTCAAGCCCCGCGTAGACCTTACTCAAAACAAAACAAAAACACACACACACAAACAACTAGAAAGTTTTAAAGAAACAAGAATGAAGAGCAACTTTCTTAGTGGTGGTGTAGTGTATCTGAAATACGCAAAGAACAATCATGCACCGTAAGTAACTTTGTCTATCAGAGTGTAAACAGTAATTGAAAAGTCCAGCTATCAATAACCTAATACACAGCTTGCATAGAGTCCTGTCCTTTTTTGCACACAACTGGCACTACTTTTCAAACTGAAAATGCTCATTAAACAAATAAAAATCATATAATTACTAATTAACTGAATGCAATAGGCAAAATTTTTAATGATTATTCAACAAATAATGCCAAATATATACAATGCTGAATAGCTGGTACAAAACTTTGGTTTTACTGAATTCTGCTACATGAATAGAATGTTAAGTATACCCAATGTGAATTTATAGTAGTAACATTAATTAATACTAAATACCCAACTGTCCTCTAATTTTGTTCACTAATATTACAATACTTCCTTTATATAACAGTGTAAATAATTTCACTTGGAGAAAAATGAAGTCATTTAAAAGTAGTTTAACACAAAGACAGCCTATGTAGTCCCATCCCCATCAGCACCTTGTAAATGGGATTAGCCCAGCTCTGAAAATATTTACTTAATAATGCAGTAATGTCTCACATCTCCATGGGTCAGGCTTCTTGCTATATTAACACTGAGGAAGTAGCTGAGGACTCAACAGCAACCAAAAAACCAACAAGTAGAAAAACTGAACTATCATAAAGCCCACTCACTGGCCTCCACTGGCTCTGATTTTTATAAACCATTCTATCAAACTCACTGAGTTTTGTAGTCACAGCAAATCTCAAACAGCAAATTAGGGAAAGAGACAGATGAGATGGAGCAAGGCAAGATGAGTATGACCATGGCAATGAGAACAGACAAAAAGGAAAAAAGAATTACAAAACAGAAAAGAAGTCTATGCAAGTCTAATAATACAGGCTCTCCCAACTATGTAATATAAGCAACACTGGAATTAAGAATTAGTTGCAGAACTACACCAAAGTGAGGGTCTTTAGGAAACCTACCTTTTCTGTGCCTCATTTTTTTATTCTCTATAATAACCATACAGTAGGATGAGTTCTTCATGCTGTATTTGATAAGCTTTTACTGTATTTAAAAATGATTTTTAAGCATTTTTTTTACTGATCCTAAAAGAAATATTGTAGAGAATTTAGAGAATACTAAAGTGTAAAGAAAATTAAAATTGCCAATAACCCAGCACCCAGAGATAGCCATCATTTACATCTTAGTGCATTTTTTCCAGGTGTCTTCATATATAAGTATGTACATATACTTTATATAACATTTTTATTAACCTGACATTATTTGTGGACATTTTCCCAACTCAAAAAGTCTTTATAGCACTATCTTAATGGCTACATATACCAGAATTTATTCTATCACTGCAGATTTTGGTTGCTATTTTATAAAGCATACTGTACTGCAAACAAGCCATAAAAAATAATCATTTATAAAATCTAGATACAGAAAGGAAATTTTTCAATGATCAGCTTACCAAACACCACAAAAAAATTAAAAAGTTATGGTTCATAAAATCAGATTATCAAATACAATATTTAAGTTCAATGAACAAATAAGACATTCAGAAAGCCAAGTTTCTAAATAAGTTTTAGAAATTATCAGTTTAGGGGCGCCTGGGTGGATCAGTCGTTAAGCATTTGCCTTTGGCTCAGGTCATGATCCCAGGGTCCTGGGATCGAGCCCCACATCGGGCTCCCTGCTCTGCGGGAAGCCTGCTTCTCCCTCTCCCACTCCCCCTGCTTGCGTTCTGGCTCTTGCTGTCTCTTTCTCCGTGAAATAAATAAATTAATAAATCTAAAAAAAAAAAAAGAAATGATCAGTTTAAGTGATTTCTGATGCCAGCAATAACAGACTTTCAATTAAGAGAATTCTGGATTACTGCTATTAAATTACAATATTCTAGTAAAGTAGTACCTACAAACGACTATAGTCATTCTGCTCATTCATTCATTAAGCAAGTATTTTATATGGTAGGCACCATGATTGGCTGCCTTAACATCAAGAGCCTTCTTTGTAGTCTCAAAAACAAGGTAGCAGTATTTAATGCACTTTTACAAATGAAAAAATTCACCCCAAATCCTACTGTACCTCCTCTCTCATTGTACTTACTACCCAGTGTCTAGTCTCTCCCACTAAACTGTGAGCAACTTGAGAAAAGAGACTGACACCACCTCTGACTTTCCAACTTTTGGTATAAAACAGTTCAACAAAGGTTTGCTGAATGACTTTACAAATTTTTTAAGTCTTAATCTAAAAGCACACAAGTTTAAACAAATGGAATAATGTATACACTAATTTTAATGATGCAATTTTCATTCTATTTCTCATATTCATATTGGTCTTCATAATCTTAGTGACTGCATAATATTCCATTGCACTTACATGATACAGTTTAGAAAATAATTATTCTAATATTCTCTTTGAGTGTTGTTTCCAGTGTTTTTAGATTGTACAGCTAATGTTCCAGCAAACATATCTTGCCTTATATATCTGACAGATTTATTTCTGACTAGAAAAATTGGGCTCAACTCTAGAAGACGATAATCTTCTACAATAAAAGTGAATATCAAAAGAAAAAAATTTTCACCCCAAAGGCAGAGTTTTGAAGGACAGACAAAAACACACATACACACAAAGAAAATAGAATTTTTTTGGCCAAATCAATTTAAATAAATCCTGATATGATATGTATCATCCAAAGTAAATATTTTGTAGGACTGCTTCATGCATTATCTTTAGGAAACATACTTCTGGGGACAGGCAATACAAACTCTGAATTAAGAAACAAAATGTCTAACTAGAACATCAATGGTTTCCAAAGGAGGCACACACTTTACCTCCACCTTCTTGGATTCAGAGCTTGCTCAGACCCTCAGGTTACAGAAATATAATCAACTTTGGGCTTCTGAAGATGTCTTGATTCCTTTTCCACCATTTACAGATTTTAAAGTAATAATCTACCAGGTAATATAAAAGCACTCAAGCTTTGATCTTAGATAGAAGGGACTTATGGGAAAGCCAACTGTACTTCAGAAATATGAAGCTAGTTTATATGCATACTCATCTAAGAAACTTGTGTTGAGCATCTACTATGGCATCTCTGCAGTATGGCCCTTCAATGATTACTGAAATCATGGAGCCCGCCTCCTTTGTTTTATTTGGAGGGAGCAAAGGAGAGGAAGAAAGAAAAACAGTTAACTATATTATAATTTAATCGTGGTCCAAGTATGATTGCTAACAATTATCTCTAATAAGGCAGAATATAATCTATAAAAGGTAACGTCGTCATAACGGAGGAAGGGGGCCTTTGAGACCAGCTAGAAGATATGCTCGAATATGGAATTTTTAAAAGAAGTACGCTATTTAATTTATACTTTGTCTATATCAAATTTTTCACGAAGCCCAGTGAGTAATACCTGCTTATAGTCTTGTACTGTTTGCTTTACAGTTTTTCTTTCACGCAGGCATAAAATAGGGACTCTCTGAGACATATATAACAATTCAATTATTTGAAGCAGGAATTCTACAGATGGCTTAGAATATGGTACCTTTCGTCCCCCGCCGTTCCATTCACAGACTGCACTAACATTCCACACAATACAAAAGCGCATGCCATGACAAAGACCTCCAAACACAAACATATAAAGCTATGCTTCTAAAACGCCCCTAAGGCGAACTTCACAGCTGGCACTTGTGGCACACTCAAGCCACCGCTAAGGCAGCTGTCACAGGCCAATCACATACACAACAGTGCCAGCGTGCCACCAAAGAAAGCTAAGCTGATGATCGGCGTACAAATCCCCCACCAAATAAAGAAAAGCCCTAAATCCCCACCCTGAAAAGCACAATGCCTGCACTACCCAGGAAACTCCCTAAAACAGCGAAAGGCTGGAGATTTAGAACCAATAAATACCAGCTTATAGCTATACGGTAAAGGAAGGGTTTTATTTGAGCATTCACAAGAAAGAAGCCACACCACCCAATCATCACGGAAGTATCATCTGCTAGGTAGTAACACCAGGCTTTTTCAATTGGAAAAAGGAGAGTAGAGGGCAAGGGGAAAATTCAGGTCCTGCAGCCCCTCCCTCCCGGGCAGGGAACCGAGCTGCTGCGATCTCCGTTTGCCAGGCCCTCTCCCACCCCTTTCCAGCCACCACCTCCCACCGCGGGCCCAACAGCCTCCGGCTCTCTTACCTTCGCTTTGCCGGCCTCCAGTTTCTTCTGTCTCTCCTCGTCCTCCATGGCCTCTGAAGGGAAAGCTGGGGGAAGACAGGGAGAGGGTCGGGGGTAAAAAGGAAAGGTCGATTCCGATAGAGGTGGGACCGCAAGATCCGCCGCCTAAGGAGCAGGGCCGGGCCTGGCGCTCCCCCCGCCCGGCGTGGAACCAGTCTCCGCGCTCACTGGCTGACCGTCCTCAGCCGCACGGGCAACGCCGTCACCGCCGCCGCCATCTTCGTCTCCACGTAAACACACGGCAAGGCGGGAGCGGGGTGGGGGGGGGCACGTCGGTCCGCGCAGACGCCGCGAGCCCC